TCTTCCCGAAACCTCCGACGCCGTTTGCGAATCTTTGCGCGCCTTGACCGATGCCCCGTCCAAGAGCCAAGGTGTTTACGATGGAGTTCGTTCGTGCACTGGCAGGCGCGCCAGCCTTGGTCTTGTCGATGAAGCTGCGCACCGGCGCACTTGCTACGTGGTCTGGGCTTGATAGAAGACCGATGAGGTAGCGTTCAACCGCGGGACCAATCACCGCGCTGGTGCACTTCCTAGCTTTTGGTAACTCCACCGGCGGTGGTGGCAACTTGGAGGGACCGTCGAGAAGGCTGAACGCTTCTGAAGCACCTGCGGCGCCGCTGGTCTCATAAGATATCGGATTGGAAGGCATCGTAAGCGTTCTTCTCAGTTCCTTTTCCAAAGTTTCAAATTCTGACCACCTTCGAATGAAAACGAAGCCGCCGGCGTCGTTGGCTAGACCCTCGACCGCGATCATCAGCTCCAGCGTTCGCGGATCGACAGTCACATTCGGGCGCTCAGCATTCGGTGATACGTCTGTGACAGTGACGCCGAGCTGGTTGGAGCCATACGGGGCCACGCTACTGGAAGTCGACGACCTTTTCAGGTCAACGCTAGAAGGCCGGGACCGGAGAGGCTCTGTGTCTTCGAGTGACCCTCTAGATATTGCGCCACCGGCAGCCTGTGCCGGACTGGCAACTCTAGCAGGGAGCGCGGACGCTGCTTCGCTGTGTGCAGCGGAAGCGCTGACAGCCGGCGCAGGCTTCTTGCGAGGCTCGTAGGACAGCGTGCGAGCGTGCCCAGGAGCTGAGCTGCTCGATGCTGCGGCCTCATTGCCTTCCGCTCTCTGGCGAGCGGCCGCTTGAGTGTCTTGCCAAAAAGCAGTGTACAAGGCGGTCAGCCTGGCCCACAGAGCACGTTCGACTGGCGCGAGAACTTCTCGTACACCGCCTTCCTGCTCGCCTAGCTCCAGCCGTCGGACAGCATCATCCAGCACCTGCTTCACTTCTCCCGTGCTATTTGCGGATGACAGCGCTTCTCGCGCCTTTGTCAAAATTGACGAAGCGTCTGGTCTGAACAGCTCGCCTTGTTCGGAATCAGTCGGGACTAGCGAACAGCAAAGACGATCAGTCAGCATGATGTCGTTGTACGCACACATCTTCGCCAGGCTCACCAAGCCGCGCTACGGTAGCAAGGCCGATGTGCAGCCGCAGCAAGGCTTCTCCTTCTCCCGGCTGCACACGAGCGCCTGCAGGGGCTGAAGCAGCCGTCGTGCCTCCCCGGTCGAGCCAAGACTCGAAGGCGTCTCGCAGCCTGGCCAGCTTGTCGCTGTCTGAACGAGTGAGTACCTGAGCCAAAGGAGGCGCTCGAGGCATGGGCGCGCCACTCTTGGTAGGAGATGTTTGAGATTCCGAAAATTTGTCCGCCGGCCGCGGTGGAAGGACTGGTCGGATTTGAGATGCCTCAGAATCCAATGAGGCCTCGTGCGTCTCCTTCGCCTCTTCTGAACGGGATTCGTGATCACGCTGCTCCAAGATACTTTCGTCTGCGATGCGATACCCCCCGACGTACGCGTCATTGGAAGAAGTTGCATCCCCGGCGCCAGAGGCCGAGTCACCTGAAGTGACCGAGCGCGAATCTCGTTGACCCTCCGAGGTCAAGGAGTCACGTAAAGAGGCGGGCAGATCGGGCTCGTGCACGCTAGACGGGATATTAGACGGCATAGCGTGGTCGATCGGCGGCGTCCAATTCTCATCTTGCACTTTAGGTCTGGACGAGTCTGCGTGAGGTTTGCGATTGGGCAATGGCGGCGGACCCATCAGAGGCGCTCGAGCAGGTTGCGTGCCAATGTGAGACGTCGTTCTAGATCTCGGGTGGTACGAGGGTGACTCTGGCAGCGCGTCCAGCGATCGCCCCTGCTCTCCACTGCACCGCACCTGATCCGAGGATGGAGCTGGACTGTGGGCTTGACCCCGAAGAGATGACGTACTAGGGCTTGCCATGTACATCCCAGCGGTCGGCGAAGGGGCGGCAGACGCATGTGTCGCATTCTGGTGCTCCGCTTCGATGAAGCTCCGGACGCTTGGACTGGGCATGGCCTTGGCTCGAGGTTGCTGTGTCTGAGGTCCGGGCGAGATGGGCGGTGCCATGATGCCCATTTGCGGTCGAGGCTGTTGAGTGGTGAGACTGGGTGAAGGCGATGGTGCCATGAGGCTGGGCTTCAATGATACACTGTCGCCTGCAGCAGGATTGATCGCAGCGCGCATAGAGTCCGACATCTGTTCTGATGCTTGCAATGCTGCCCTTTGTGCCGTCGGAAGGGCTGCGGGAGCGTCGGGAGCAGGAATGACCTCATCTTGAGATGCCAGCTCACCAGCTTGTGGTGCAGCCGAGGCTTCCAACTGCGCCTCAGCTCGAGCTTGACCCAGCAGGACTGGATCCACATCAAGCGAAGGAGTTCGGGGACCCGAGTAAGGCGCTGCCACGCTGCCAGGATGGGCAATCTGCTTCTCCTGCTGCTTATCGCCCCACTCGACGATTTTGCGATTGATAAAATCGGCTGCAGCCATCAAGAGAAGGAATCGACAAGTCAGAAGCACGATACCTTCGCCATCGAAGCGCCGTACCGCCCTGTACGACTCACGATCACCGCAGGCGCCAATGACGTCCCACAGCTTCCTCGTCGCTATCTCTCTCAGAAGCTCACGGACCAAGGAGCTGCTTCGTTCCTCGCGAGGAAGATGTCTTTCGAAGAAGTGTTCCACCGCTATTCTGAGCCTGTCTGTCCTCTCTGTAGAGGTCGAATAGATGCCCTGAGAGGGTATTTCGGGCGGCACTGTCCTTCTTGCTTTGAGCACCGTGTACATGACCGAAGTAAGTGTATGAAGCAGCTCAGAAGCCTGTTTTCCGACCCCATCCACATCAGCCTGTGTTGGGCACAATAGCATCACCCATCGAGACTAGAGACTTACGATGTCCACGCTTCGAGTACTGCTGCTGACCCTGGCATGCACTGAATCGACCATTTCGTCGATCGTAAAATGAGCAGTTCGCGGAAAAGATGGATGGGCAAGCGTCTGGCCATTGTACCTGCGTTGAGCACGCACAGAAGAAAGCAGTGCGGATGGCTTTGGTCAGCCAACCTGCTTCAAGCTTGCATGCGCCGTCTTTTCCCGCAACTCACCAGCTGCACACGAAATCCCTCACCGCAAGCTCCGTCAGCTCGTCCAAAGGTCTGCGCAGGCTGTCGTTCATCCTGTTCGGCCTCTTTGCCCGTGGTCGTACCCTTCCTTTCTGACTCGCGCCAGCATCTGATAGAGATGTCGCGGGAGGAGGAGGTGCAGGACCTACTAGCGGCAGGAAACGTGCTGGATCCCAAGCTGCCATCGATGGTTTGTCTGACATGCTTGTAGGTAGACACAGTAATAAGCGGATCCATGGTGAGAGCAGCAGCACGGTTGTAGATGCGATGACAAGCAAGATGTTGAATGGTCCACTGCGCCAGAGCAAGAGCAGCAGAGGCACTAGAATGGCGGTAGTTGGTAGTATGGAATCTGATTGCACAGGATGACTCGTTGAAGGTGTAGTCGAAGCCTTGGCCTCTTCAGAAGGGGCGTGACTCGACATCTTGAGACAAAATATGGAGCAGCTTGAGCTGGAGATTCGATGAGGCAAATTCTCTGGACCAGCTCAGAGGACCATGTTTTGCGTTGGCGAATGTCGTGATAGTGTCGTGATGGTCGTTCGTCCGCGTGGTCGCTGGACAGATGGACGCGTCTGGAGTACAAGTGATGTTGAGTCAAGCCAAACGTGAGTGCCAGTGGTTCATGAGGCACCGCCCAGAGAGGTCTGCGTGCTCGACGTCAAAGAACAGGCGACAGACATGGAGCACAACTCTTGATTGATGAGAGATGTGCGGAAAGGTTCCCATTCACTGATTCGTGATTGCAGCATTCACCATACGCAGTCTGAGTGCACGACGAATAAAAAAAGTCTCATCAAGCTCGATCGAACCAGTGTGTGAGTGCAGATTGAGCCCGGAAGTCACCGTCCTGCCTATACGATATGGATTTAGGTGTCCTGTGCGTCGAGCGCATCGCGGCGGATCGTGCATCTGCACGTGGCTCTGCCACCACGCAGCCAATCACTCGTGAATCACGAATCAAGAATGGCGCTGGTGACTGCTGAAACAAGTTTCGAGCGCTTGGGTGCCATGCCAAGCCACACCTGGATGACATGCGGTCATGCGGTCGCGGTAGCGGAGTGGTAGTAGTGGTAGTGTGCTAGTCACGAGTACAAGTGGTGGTAGTAATAACAATAATAGTCACGAGTACATTTACATTACACGGTGTCTGACCTCTGCGCTGAACTGCTGTTACAGTACCGCACAAAAGGTGATTGCCCCGCACCCCATCATATGCAGGGGGACCAAAGAGAGAAGAGATGCGAGATCGACAGGCAGCTTTCAGCAGCGGTGGGGGAGATCGATCCACGATCGTGACTCGTGACTCCAACTGTGGCTGCTGCCACACGGCCACGCTTGATCATGACCAGCTTCGAGCAATCGTAATCGAATCCAAATCACTCGACCCTCTTCTTGTCTCGCCATTCCTCACTCTCCAGTGACTGCGTCTCGTGCGGCGATCACGGATGTATGCTGCGTGCGCCTCGCCTCAATTCCTCCCCTTCACAGCCACCCGCTTTTGGACGGGATCAATCGTTTATCCCGCCCGATTACTGCTTCGCCTCTTGACGCAGTCCACCACAGCCATCCGCAAGTCAAGTCAAGATGCGCCTGGCAAGCTTCGCGCTGCTTGCTCTGAGTGCTGCAACGGCAGCTTTGAGTCTCCCGAGTCAGCAACATCAGTTCCCCTTGGTCTTGCCTAGCCCTGCCAGCACCATCGAGGAGAGCGGCGACGAGGCTTATTGGGCATCGGAAGAAGGTGTGGGTCATTTCAGCCAATGGTCCAAGGCTCAAAAGCGCAACTTTGTGGACGATGTTCGGGATGGCAAAGCAAACGAGTGGATCTTGGTGATGGGAAATGAAGGTGGAGACCTGGACAGCATGACGGCAGCTTTGACCTGGTCTTATCACCTCTCGCACCAGCATGCCGATACGAACAAGACCATCGCTCTCCTGCAGACTCCTAGAGATGCATTGGACCTTCGGCCGGAGAACAAGTTGGCGCTGAGAAACGTCCTCATGTCGCCTGGACATCGTGATCTCCTCACCATCGACGAGCTGCCCTTGCCTGCCGAAGAGATTGCGGAACAGCTCAAGAGCATCGTTCTGGTGGATCACCCCGCTCCTCTCAGCGTTTGGCAAAAGGCCAAAATTCGCTCCATCTTTGATCATCATAGGGATAGAGGAGCTGCTCCGGATGCCAAGCCTCGCCTATTCGAGGGCACCGCTAGCTGCACGACCATCGTGGCCCGGACGATGCTGGACGAATTAGAACGCCGAAAAGAGGGAGAGTATCACATGCCTCACGAGGTAGTCGAGCTGATCCTGTGAGTCGCCTCAAATGACACAACAGGCCTATGGAATCGCAATCTAACGATAGCCCCACGTAAATGCAGCGACGCAATCGCGCTGGACTCGGATGGACTGAGCAAAGGCACGCCGGCGGACAAGTTCACAGCTGCAAGGTTGCTGAAGCGTAGCAACTGGAGCAAGCAAAAGCTGTACGATGTGATGGATCGTCTGGACAGCGAGATGAAGAAGGCAAAGAAAGATCTGGAAGAGTTGGGCGTGCGGGATCTTTTGCGGCGCGACTGGAAAGGTCAGAGATGAGAGCCTGCGCACAACACCTTTTTCCTTTTTGTGGGGAGGGGGCTAATCAGACCAGCGCTCCGTCTTTGCCCTTCACAGGCGACTTGGTAGAGACGCCTGAAGGCAAACCCAACGTCCATCTAGGTTTGGCATCCATCCCAATCTCCTTGGAGGACCAAATCGAGCGAACTCTGCACAACACTACGCAAGCCTGGTTCGTTACGGAAGAAAAGTGGTCAGAAGGTGAGCCATGGGTCTGCTCTCTTCTCTCACAACTCACAAAACAACCAAGGCACTCAAATCTTTATCGCGTAATGTCTGAGCAGAAATCGGTGCGGACATTACGTTGGCTTTGAATTCTTTCAAGGAGCGCGACTCGCACAACAAGAAGATCAAGACGAGAGAGATTGTTCTGGTCGTTCGTCCCAATGACAAGTTGACGGAGAAGGATTCGGACGAGCTCTTCCAGATCATTTCGAACGCCGTCGAGCAGAGCCCGTTTTTGGATGCTCAGCCTTGGAAGAGGGCAAAGGAGCTCACTACGAGACAGTGAGTGCGACTCTTGCATTGCGACCTGTGCTAGGGCAAGACACGAACATTTCTCAACAGCCAATGCATTCCTTTCTCCTCCTCTCATCTCGTCTCGTCTCGTATTTGATGCAGAATGGTCTGGACGCACCATATCGCTAGCGGAGGAAGAAAGCTGATTCGTCCCATCGTCGAAGACGCCGTCGCAGCTTGGCGTTTGTAGAAGCTGGTCGAGCTTGGCACGGACATGCGATTGCCACCGCGTTCCGCTCGTCCTCGGAGACACACACGCACGTCCCAAGACACTTTTGTACGCCATTTTGGGAAAATTTCTCCCCCCGAGCACATCGTCCCATCGCACTGGCTCTCACCTTCCCGACAAAGAGATGAGCAAACTCCACACGATGTCTGACGAGGATGCTCTTAGCACCAAAGTCGCAGCTGTATCATCGTTTGCCTGATATGCCATCACGCGTTCAAACTCGCTTATTTGAGGAACCATTGTGATACACATACGTTGAAGTAAAGCTCGCGGAGCCGAGTCGAAGTGAAGAGGTTTCCACAGCGGGATGACTGCTCCTCCTGAACAGGAATTCAATGAGAAGAAAGGAAGAAAGCAGAAAGTACTCCCGACGTAATCAACTTCGACTTGCTTTGCAGACGCCAGAGGAAAGGGAGAAAAACACCGCGAACAAAGTTGCGTCGGAAAACTTCCGGCAGATTTCGCTGTCCCACTGTCGTGGAGCGCAGGGAGGAGCTTAGGCTGCCGTCTCGCTAGATGCAACAGCACCGTAGCCGCCACCGGGGGTGGCAGCCCAAGCTGGCAGCAGTACCTCAGCCTCCGTTGGAAGAGCGAGCACAAGTGCAAGGCCCCACACCGGCTTAGCGAGGACATCGACTGATGGCACGTAAAAGGCTCAAGTCAGTCCTTCTGCCTTCCTACGAGCCCAACGCTTCATACCTCGCAACTCACGAATGCCGTAGGCGAGCACCTCGGAGTCGGCAGAGATGATGCCCGTACCCTGCACATTGTCCACATCGTCCGGTCAGCGCGACGTGCCCCTATCTTCAAGTAGCGTACTGATACCCTCCGAGCGTCCCACTCACCTCGCCAAGTACCCAAACAACGACGTACGCAGACCAGGCAACGACAAGCACGCCTGACAAGTAGTTGTAGAGCGTTCCGACCTAAGCAAGTAAAGTGCAAGAACAAATTGATCATTATTATTATTCTGTTGTTTTTTTTTTTGGGAACTTCTGCAGGACTAGGCCTTGTGCACTCACCTTGTTGCCGCGCAGGAAAGCGTTGGATCTGGCATTGCCGACGAGCGAGTAGAGCACAAAGAGGAAAGCGAGCAGGGAGAATGTGAACAGTCCCCATCGGTAACGAAGGGAAGGATGCAGAGCTGCCAAAAGACCAGTGACAATCATGATCACATCGGCCACCACAGTGCTGGCAATCTCAGCGGCGGGAAGACCGGCCAAAAAGGTCAGCTCGGTAAGCAGAAGGGGAGTGGTGAAGAGCCAGTCGATGTAGCGAGCGTAGAGGACCTGCATTTTAAATGACATTTTCGCAAGATTGTGTGAGCTGATGCAGGTGCGTGTGCAAGCTTCGACCCCATCCACGCACCTCTCGCTTGGCAGAACGAGGTCCACCAGAGTGAACAATGGTGGATCCAACTCCAGAGGCCATGCAAAAGTACGCAATCGCTGCCAAAGAGCAATGGGTGTCAGGCAAATGCAGAGAGGGGCCAGATCTCGAGCAAGAGAAGGGTGCGACTCACTGGCGATAATGTTGACCAGGAGACCAAGAGAAGGCAAGAAGCGACGACGATAAGGCTCGCGGTAAGTCACGGCAAAGGAAGCCACAGTTCCGACGGAGAAGAGGCCAAAGACGATCCACAGGATGAGATGACCATTGTGAGTCAGAGCCTCGGGATGATGCAAGGTAGGCGGGATAGGCTCGGGCTGGTGGAGGGTGCATGGCAGAAGTGAGCCGGCTGCGCGTCGATACAGCTTCGATCGCTCTCATTCTTCAAAATCAGCTCGTCCTACTCACCACAACAACAGGAGGCTTCTTGAGCAGCGTGTCGACGTTTTCCCACACGAAAGAGTTCATCTTGGCAAGAGTCAAATGTGTGCAGAATAGGGTCGTGTTCTGGGTCAAGCGTGCGGGCAGATCGTGATGGAGAGTCAGTGGGTCGAGCGGACTCAGAGCAGCGATGATGGATGGTGGATTGAAGACGGACGCTCATCAGAGGATGGCTGGTCGCACAGCGGGCACGGCTTGGCATCGACCCACGACTACGTCAGCCCTCGATTCTGGCGTCGGGTCTGGTCTGGTAGAGCAGCCTGCATGGCTCTACCTGACTAAGGAATCTTTGCTGCTGCTGCAGTCAGCGCGCGCGTAAAAGGACGTCAGAAGTGCTCCTCCACCTTCATCACCTGGACAGCCACATGTAACGCCGCATGCGCCCTGAAAGTGCGATTCCTTAGCACGCTCTGATGCTGATCATATTTCTTTATTAGTCGGAGCATCGCACCCGCACATATGTATATATAGATATATATATATATATTCGGCTCCAGGTGCAGGACCGCGGGCTATTCAGACTCAGATTACTCGATTGATCGCACGATTGCAATCAAAAATCTGAGAGACGTATAGAGTTACGAGTGCGGCAGGAGATTCTCGAAGCGGCGGGCATCGCGCCAGCACGATCGAACGAGCGGCTGAGGGCTGCTGAGCAAATGTGTGTCACAAGTGCAAGCGGCTAGCGGCTGTGTGGAAATGAGGCTTGCAGGCTTGCTGGAAGGGTCCATATATGATCCATATTGTGATTGGCCTTTAATTGGAGGATCGCAAGCAAGCAACGCAGCCATGCAGCATATTCACAATTCCTGCAGCGATGAAGGGCCCTCTGCATGCATGCATGCATGTCACGACAAACTCTGCTGCTGTGCACGCATCAGTCGAGTCTCACAGGATGAGTCTGAGTCAAGTGTCCGTGCGCGCTCGATCGCGATCTGCACACTCACGACTTCACGACTCGATCGTGACTGGTACGTGCACCGCCCGCCCACATGCAAGTAGCAGCCCCACAGTTGGCCAGCGGTACATGTACAGCTATGCGGTTATATAGCGGTCAGCTAATGAGCCCAGTATGTGCTTGCATGCCTATCTCGGATGGCGTACACGCTGCTGGATAGCGTACTTGATGGACTGGGCCGGCCCACACCGTCGCACGCACCCCCACTCATCACCCACATTTCAAGACTGTACACCCATGCAGTGCACTCACTCACATTCGCGATTGACAGAACTGAATGCTGCGAGCGTCGACTCCGCGATGCGCAGCCGCGCTTGCTGTTGGATGATGTGATGTCATATGGCGAGTTGGCGACGTGGCTTATGCCGGTCTGCATGCATGGCATCTGATGCTGCTACTGTACATATACTCATTGACTGTACGTACATGTATGCGGAATCTAGTGAGTCCCATGCTAGCGTGAGTGCCTGCTTAACGTAGAGTAGTAGTTGCTGCATGCGTGCACGTCATCCCACCACGCCCATCTCGCTCAAGTCACGTCGAGCATCGCCCATTCAAAGGCCCTCTTTCCTAAACATCTGTCACAACAGTCAGCGAGAGAGATTCTTAGGGGCTGCGTTATCAAGCTCAGCGGCCAATTTTCATGTAGTGTTACTCGTGACATCTGTGGTTACTAGTCTTGCGGTGCGATCGGAAAGTGGTGAGGAACAGTCTGACGTTGCTGAGATGGGATGCTCGACATTCTTGATTGGGGGACGAAGGTGGATTGACAGCACCAAGAGCAGAACATATGCTAGACGAGGGATTCAAGCGATGGGACCAGTACTTGTGGCACTTTCATCCTCCGAGGCAGCTAGAGCAGCCATGTGAGCATGCCATTCCACCCGCCTCCTCATGATCTCTGATGGCAATAATGGTCTTGAATCCGGCGCTTGGACAGAATCAGCGGTGGCGGTATCTACCGTCGTGCTGTTGGCAAGCGCACTGCCGTTCGCCTCTTTGCTGGTAGTCGTGGTTGGACTCCAATTCTCTGGCGGGTCGTAGGCGGGTTGCCAATCTTTGTTGCGCCTCTCTTCGTGCAGCTGTTTGCGCAGCTGTTCTTCTCTGGCGTCTCTCTCCGACCAGTCGCCCTCCTCATCGTCATCAAAATCGCTCACTCGTCCATCGTCGCTCCCCATGGCAAGCGAAGACGCTCGTCCCGTCGCTCGTCCGCCCGATCCGCGCAGCTCTTGGGCGCCATGCGACCCGTAATCGCTGTATTCGCCCTCTTCATCCGATGCATAGCCTACACCACCTCCATCCATGCCTACTTGCCAAGTGGCATCGTGTGAAAAGGTAAGGTCGAATCGCTTCGGTCTGACCTCGTATCCTTCGCTACCCCGACGTACTCGAGAGCGAGAGAACATGTCAACTTCCTGGCTGTACTCCGATCCCGACTCTGTGACACTTTCTGCTGATTCGTCGTCGTCTGCCCACATCTGCGGGAATGTTTCCTTCCGTCGAGATCCATGCTCCGCGCCACTCGGTAGACAACCTGCTTCTGTCATACCTGCGGCCTCAGCATCGGTGTTGATGTATTCGACCTCTTCCGATAGGCCAGGTGGCTCATAGTCTGGGTGGTAAGGCGGCAGAGCGCTGCGCTGTAGCGCGTCGACACCTGTTGCATGTTGTGCTTGGTCTTCCGAAGCCTTGCCGGCCCCCTCTGTCTCCTGTATCCGCCGTCTGAGACCGTTGCTTGGCTGAAGCTTTGGATTAAAGCCGTTTCCGTAAGTAAAAGGTCCACTTTCGGGTAGTTTGAAGGCAGTGCCAGGGTCGTGGGCGTGAAGACGTTTCCGCCTGTTCGGATCTTTGGGCGGCCACCTGTAGGCGTCTTTTGGATCTGGTCGCAGGATTAAGGCGGGAAAAAGATTCGGTCAGCGCTTCGCCTGCTCAAGATTACACTGGGTTCTGAAGCTGCCCGCTGAGTCGGTGACCCCTGCGCTACTCACCGCGTGTCCGTCTTCAGCAGGCGCGGCGGACGGGCACGCAGTGAAAGAGTACGCATCGCCCCCCACACACGCTAGGTGGGCTTTCACACCAAGGGCTGCGTCTCATCGGAGCTCGCTGGCTCACGGCTCTGCAATCGTAGCAGGGCATCCCACGCGCTGCCGTCGTTGGGGCGACCTCTGGATGTTTGACGCGCGTCTGACCAGTGATCACCCCATTCGGCGTCTTCCACGTTCGTACCCGAGGCTGGTGCTCGAGCTTCCCGCGCCCACTTCCGCATCACCTCTGCATAACGCGGGTTCCAGGGCCAGCCTTCCTCTTGTTCCTCCGCTCCACATTCGATCCCGCTTGACTCACCCGCCCCGTCGCGCAAGGGATAATGCAAGCCATCGCCTGGTGTTGGCTGTGGCCAGCACCAAAGCAAGGGATTGCTGCCGAGTGACGCTTGTAGGTTTCGTACTAGGCCTAAATCATAAGGATATTGGATCTGAGTGATTTCAGAGGGAGGTGAAGAGTCAAATTTGAACTCTTTTGCCCCCTGGGAATCTTTAACGCCACATGACTCACTTCTCGGACGCGTCCTCGTCGAACCATAGTCGCTACTCTGTCCTTTTCCCACCCTTCAATGGTAGTGGAGTTGTTGGCGGCGCAGTAGAAGTGGTACATGCTGAACATGCCTACGAGGAGCAGAACGGGCACGCAGAGAGCATAATTTAATACCATCAGCAGCATGATCGGCGTCGTTGGCGAGCGCTGTAGTCAGCAAGAAGGCAGCCATGGTCAGTAGGCTAGGCTGAGCGGATAGGAGCACGCACAGCACTTCACAAGGATTACTGACATACATGTTTCCACCGCCCCAGGCATCAGCTACTCGTGCTGATAGCATGAGCAAGTGATAAGCGCATGTGACATCCACTGCGGCCAAGAAGCGGATGAATGCAGCGTAATTTCTGTGGCCGACGCAATTTGCGATCCAAGGACAGTGGTGATCCATTCTCAGGGTGCACCTTTGACACTGTCGGCAGTGGTGTGCTCGAGGCGGCTTTGGAGCCCTGCACACTTTGCACCACCGCGGTGCTCCGCTCTTCTTCACCTCTACGAATTCTGAAGCGGCTGCGGTGCCTTCGTCGGGAACGCCTGGCCCCGAGGGAATCGATGGGACCCATCCGTTTGGCACCCTGCCCGGTGAGCTCAGAGCCGCCAGGAAGTAATTGTAAAGGAGGAATCCTGCAAGCGCGTTGAAGGGGCCGAGCACGAGGGCTAGATCTGCCAGACCCATGGCAGGCGTCGCCTTGTAGTAAATGACCACGATGTACTGGACGCTTAGCACCAGAAAGAATATCAAAGACAATGTCCCAGCGACCCTGTAACGTTGGGGACGTCCAGAAAACATTTGCCGTGAGCGGACACTTGCAATGTAGATCTCCTGTATGAATGAAGACGACACTCACCAGATACGCTCGCTCAACTTTAGCGGCGTCCGCCTGTCCTGCATTCGCCTGAGTATCGAGGGGCCACCATGACCATCATCCGCAGCGTGGTGATCGGACGAAACTGTGTCGTGCCCCATCACCCCTGAACGGGTCGCTTCCGCAGCGATTGACATGATGCCTTGTGTTGGCCCACTGTGTCAGCACATTCACGAAAAGCACTTTGCATTCGCGGACTACGTTGTGGCGACGACGTTCTGTGTCTTGTCAGATGAAATCGGAAGGAGGTGTAGTGAGGTGTCGAGACAGGCTGACAGGAAGGTGGCCGCGCACACCTCGCTGCAAACTCCTGTTGCTCCGGACAACAGGGTTAGGAATCGAGATTGAGCGTGAAAGAAGCGACTGAATTGGGGAATGTGTGGATACGACTTGAGAGAGGCGCTTTGGACAAGTCTCACAGGTGCGTGAGGAGAAGCAGCGGGTGAGACCCGAGTGTATGCCGAGTAATTGGGTCACCAAATGCGGCTGCTGCTGCGTGCGTTGCTAGGTTGGCGTTACTCCAGGCGGTGCCTTGGAACTCCGCTCTGGGTGCAGGTGCAGCTGGAAGGTGTGCCTGCTTTGAGATGGCGGGGTCCTGGGGTGCGGAGACAGGGCTCCTGCCTGGAATAGGAGTCAGACGTAAGAGTGATCTGGTTGTACGCTGCTGCTGTGATCGTCTTGGTGGAGGGAGGTTGTGAGAGTTAGTCGGCGGACTGACGTGGAGGCGCGGGGAGTTAGTTGACAATGCGTCGCGATACTGACGCAAATTTCGCGCGTCCAGTTTATGACTACTTCATCAGTGGTGCGAACAAGTTGAGAGCGAGGTCATTGGTTGCGGCGAAGAGGTTGAGGCAATCTTATCAAGTCTGCCGGAACTTGAATTGAGCAGAAGGCAGCAAGCAGCTCAGTGCTGAGATAAATCACGCAAGAGATGTGCGAGCTGCTGTGTGGATTGTGCTAGACTCGTGACTGTACTGGGACGTTGTCTTGGCATGCAACTCGCAACTCACACGAAGCTAACATATTTCACTGTGACTCAAAACTGTTCTTGAATCTCATCGATCAACCAAATAAACTAGGGTCAAACGAGCCGTCGCGGTCTTGACCCAGGCAGGCCTTTACCAGCACCGCTGTATATACATGCATGCACTCGCGCATCACGTCCGCACGAGTCACAGTCGTGAGTGTACAGTCATAGTCACGAGTCACGAGTGAGTGAGCACAACGTGAGGTGGAAAATCAGGACAGCGGGGACCACGTGGTAGCGCCCGTCAGGACACGGACCCTGTGCAGTCAAGTGAGTGCGCGCAAGCTTGAGCCCACGACGGCACGCGTGCGTGCGTGTTTGCGGGCATACCTTACGGTCACAGACTCACAAGTGCTGCTCACCGTGGCGGGGGTGGGATAACAACAACAACACGACGGCGGTGGTCACGGTGTGAGCTACGCGGGAGGGGATCGAGGCGCTCGATCGAACTTCGCGATGAATTATTCAAGATTGATGGGGCGTGTCGCTTCGTTCACCATTCGTGATTCAGCGTCGTGATACGAATCCAAGGGCCGCACGTCACTCTTCTATCATCCCGAAGCTGTCTCCTGTCTCTTAGCTTAAAGGATACAGCTCAAGAATTCTTCATACCTCTGCGCTACTTTGCCTACTCTCGCTCTCGCGTTGTTGCACCATAGCAGCTGCACAGGAAGTTGTTCCTGACGCGTCTCCCTGTCTGCCGCAAAGCGAGTTGGCCGTATGTCCAGGATACCAGTTCGGCAAGGTCATCATCACGAAGGAGCCTCGTCTCCATCCCAGTCCATTCACGCATCTCCCAACTCTTCTCGCATCGCTTCTCCGACCCCTTTCGGCTCATCCCACCTGGCTTCGGACACCATGACCCAGACGAGTTACAGGAACAGCCCATTGGGCAACGGTACTTCCGTCGGTTCTGATCAGACAGACACGCGCAAGCGTCAGAGCAAAAAGGACGAGGTGAGGGCAGGCTGAACGTGCTACTCCCGACGTCGAAGGCTGACCGAGCGCCCCTTGCTCGATGCGTTCGCCTTTCACAGGCGATCCGCAAGAAGATTGAAGCCGACCTGCAGCGCAAAGCCGGCAAGTCTGCCGCCCCAACCTCTTCACGACGCCACCGAAAGGCATCGAGGCCTGCTGCGGTGGCTGGCACCGTCTCAGCTTTGCGGCCCCTTCCAGCATTGACAGTGCCCCAGAGCATCAGTGTCGCTGATGCGAGTCAGCTGTGCGCTGCAAAGCGCACCGACTGCGTTCTTGTGGTTGATGATGACGAGCACCTAGCAGGGATCTTCACTGCTAAAGATCTCGCATTCAGAGTGAGTGACCTACGCTCTGGCATACCATGTCCATTCCTTCTGAGTCTGCCTTCGAGCTCCACTGCAGGTAGTAGCTGGCAACCTTGATGCCCGCGTCACGCCAGTATCTGCTATCATGACGCGCTCGCCGATGGTCACTCGAGATACGACGTCCGCAACAGATGCGCTCAACACGATGGTCACGCGAGGCTTCAGGCATCTTCCAGTTTGCAATGACGAGGGCGATGTCGTTGGTCTACTCGACATTGCCAAGGTGTTCTACGAGGCATTGGAGAAGCTAGAACGTGCTCATGGAAGCAGTCAGAAGCTCTACAACGCGCTCGAGGGCGTGCAGAGCGAATGGGGGGCAGGCGTTTCGGGGGGCGCTCAGAACCCCATGCTGGCCTATGTCGAAGCACTGCGTCAGAAGATGAGCATTCCAGACTTGACCACCATTCTCGACTCGTGCACCTTGCCATGCACTGTTGGGGTGCGCACCACCGTCCGAGAAGCCGCGAAGCTCATGAAGGAGCATCACACCACCGCCGTGTGTGTCATGGAGAACGCTGGAGGACCAGGGCAGGGTGCGATCGGCGGCTCAGGTGGCATCGTCACTGGCAAGATTGCAGGTATCTTCACCAGCAAGGATGTCGTTCTGCGTGTCATTGCTGCTGGGCTCGATCCCAAGACGTGCAGCGTGGTCCGCGTTATGACGCCTCACCCGGACACTGCGCCTCCAAGCTTGAGCATTCAAGAGGCTCTGCGCAAGATGCATGGTGAGCTTACAGCTCTTCGCTGACGCTTTCGGTTGATGTGCTTGACCGCCTAGCTAACGCGGCAAAGAATCTCCTCGGATGCGCAGATGGGCGCTACCTCAACTTGCCTGTTGTAGATGTCGAGTCGCGTCTTGTTGGAGTGGTAGACGTGCTCAAGCTCACCTACGCCACCCTGGAGCAAATCAACAGCATGAACGATGAGTCTGGCGGTGAAGGTGGCGGAGGACCAATGTGGAACCGCTTCTGGAACTCCTTTGGACAGTCCACCAGCAACGTTGGTGGTGGCGCGGATGATACCGAGAGCGCGATGAGCGGCAGCCACCGACATGAAAGCCACGACCTGCCAGCTACCCCGAGCAAATTCGACATTAGTTCCGATCTGCATCCCAACGATAGCGCCAGCGCTGTTGGTGGGCCAACGCAGCACGACGACGCCATCTCGGGCGTCAACTTCCCCTCAGGCTTGAACCCTGCCGCAGCCGCAGAAGTGGATGATGGGACTTACCTGTTCAAGTTCGTCACGCCTAGCGGCAGGACACACCGTTTCCAAGCGCGCTACGACAATTTTGACACCATCAGGGAGATCATTCTTATCAAGCTGGAGAGCGACCCCTTCTTCGAGGCAAACGTTCCTGCACAGGCAGTAACAGCTTCTGACGATGGAGAGCAATCCGCGGCTCCACTTGCCACTCCGATTACTCCACCCGATGCCAATGATTTCACTCTGGCCTACACTGACGATGAGGACGATGTTGTGCTCATCACTGCTGACGGGGACGTTCTAGACGCGGTTCAAGTGGCTCGCAAGCAAGGCAGGGACCGTGTGGTGCTGCTTTTGCAAGGAGGCAGAGGATGGGAAGAGGCAGCGGCTCGTGCAGGCGCTCATGCGCAAGCCACCACCAGCTCCAACTTGAGCACTGCAGGAGCAGCTCACAAGCGCAAAGCGAGAGAAGCGGCAGAAGCTCAATTGCAGAGCGTTCAGGAGGAAGAAGAGCGGGAAGCTGAGATCAACGAGGTTGGCGAGAGGGCTACACCTTCGAGCAGGAAACATAGACCCAAAAAGGAGGAGGAACTGCTTTTTGGATTCTTGCCCAAGGACATGGCTTTGCCTGCTGCTATCGGCTTCCTCGGCGTCGCTGTGCTGGTCGGCGTGGTGGCTACAAGACCTCGCGGTCCACAATACTGAGCCAATCTTCTAGGATCCTGCCGCTACCTCGCCATGCTGCTCTGCTCTGCTATGCCCCCGCGCCTTTCCACCTTCAAACACAATCCTCTTTCTCTCTCTCTCGCTCGACTAGACCCCCTCTCCGCGCCGTCTTACGGCTTCCTCTTTTTCTTCATGTTCTTTTTTGGGAAACTTGTTTGCGAAAAATCATGACTTTACACGACTGATCTCCCATCTCGTAATGCAATCATGCGACACCGTTCAGCTACAGATTACTCCTGGAGCAGATCAATCTGATGCTGTCAAGCGCTATGGTTCCAAAGTGCAGGCAATGTCGAGCAGCATGCGGAAAACCTCTGGCTAAGATCACAAAGGCCCCATGTTACTCTCACCAACGCTTCACGAGTGATTCGAACGAAGCCACGTTGCGCGCCAAGTGGATGGAGAACATGTGTTGCTGTAAACGAAATCGTTGTATGAACGTACGTGAGAGTGGCGCGTGTGTACGTGTGATGCGGAGGGACATGGCTCAGAGCAGGCTCTAGAAGTCTGATCAAGTGTGCGAGGGTCATATTTTGGGAGCGGTCGAGCAGAACGGGTGGCCGTGCGACTCTGCTTTTGAATGTGTCAAGATCCGAAGTTTGGCGACTTGAATCCCTTTGTCGAGGGCATGCAGAAGGAGAAGGAAGGGTAGGGAGAGGGAGAATATTGTGACAAGTGGATTAAAGAAGAGAAAAGGTGACGTCGTTGAACGTTTCGTTTTTGGTTGGTTCGTCCTCAATCACACCGCCCGGAGGTATGGCCTCATTTGAACATTTTGATGCTTCCAAAGCTGCTACCATCGTCGCTCATGAAGTCCCGCGTTGTCTCTCATCGCCAGCGGATGTCTGCGTCCTGAACACATTTATGCCTTCCTGCGGAAAGAGCAGCCTGTTGGCAGCGGAGTAAGCGGAATGTCAGCGCGTTTATTCAATATAAGTGTTGAAGCTAGCCAAGTACGCTTGCAGCCTTTGCGCCGAGGCAAGCCTGCGTCACTGGTCCCCAAACCGGATCTTGGCCTTGCTCATGAATTACTCACCCTCAGTCAATCGAGCCTTACCACCGGTTGGTTGAGACAAGACGGTGGAGCATGATCCGCAAAGGACGACGGTCTGAGCGTGGCTGAAGACGGTAGTGATGGCGAAGCAACCGGGGCACTTGACGTCCATGAAGAAGCTGTTGGGGTTTTGTACCAGCCTCTTGAGCTTGTGTTGGCGGGCCTGGTGCTCGGCGGAAGGGTTGAGGAGGTCGACGGCGAGAGTCTGTGAAGGAAAAAGGAGGCGATTGTGTCAGTGCCCGAATGCAAGAATTGCAGAGAGAACGACGGAGGGAGAGAGGGATCCCGGGCAGAACAAACTGATCTGGCCGGACGTCGATGATAGCGCATGAACAGCGCCGCTTAGGCTAATGACGCCCTCGTAGCATCCATCCACCGCCACCACCGCGCTGCACCCTGCTAGCTTATGCCGGCTGAGCGCATTCGCACTCAGCAGCCCTGAGCAGAGGCCTCCAAGCAGTGCAGTAGTGGAAGTTGCCATGAGCGCCACGGGAGGGGTGGTCGCTCTTTGGTTTGCCTTGACCGCCTTCGCGGAAACGAAAATGTTGTATCCAAATCAAGACTGCAACAACAACTGCCACACTGCTCCACAGGCTGACCCGGACTTTTCTAGCTGAAAATATGCCATCCTACCACATGGAAGCATCTCTGGGCAACTTGGGCGCCGTGCGCAACCCGAATTCCTCAACAAAGCAAGCATCGACAAACGATACTAACCATCTTGTTGAGCTTGTCGCGTAGCTGTGAGCTGAGGTTTTGGGATTGTAGTCTGCTGCGAGAGCGTAGAGTTGGTGATCACTTGATCAAGGTGAGTATGAAATCTCGAAGAGTCAGGGTGGTGGAGAGCGTGTGAAGCTTGACTTGAAAGAATGGGCAGAGCAGATGTGCGAGCGTAGGCCGTTGCAGACGCCACTGGAGTAGCAGCAAGGCCGCGCACCACCCACTCAAAATTGGCCCAGCTAGCCCGCCCGCCATTGCACACGCTGACCGTTTGTCGCGAGGTCAGAGCCGCCCAGCTGTGCTCGTGTGCCCGCGCTCTGCTTCGCTCAGCAAATGTCCAACCAGGCTGCGCGCGCGCAACCTCTCAGGTCATGGCGTGACGGCCGAGCCACGTGGTCAAGAACGTCTCCGCTCCAACTCTGAAGCGCGTCGCGTGAGCGGTTTGCAGGTGCTGCTCGGACGGGAGGCGCCATGCTGCGGCGCTAGTGGCTTCACGCTTGTCTTTGCGCGCGCCACAACAAAGCACGGTCACGAGTAGGTCGCAGTCAGGCACTTGACTTACTTACTCGTGACCTGTAGACTCAACTCAAGACTCACGACTTGCGGACGCTACACCGGTGTTGTACACCACCATCGATCAGCGACTCCTTGCGACGCTATGGGTCATGCGGTCGCAAGTACTAGTGTCGGTGATGAGTGCTCAATGGCAAGCGTGCGGAGTAGCTTGCTGTAGCGTTCAGGCAGACTGTCAACTACGTCCCTATGTTGTTATCGCCCTTCTCGAGCATGAGTCGATCAGACTCGGGTGGACTGAGCAGCGCTGAGCATGGTCAGCCTTGCAGGGCTATGGCTAGCGACGGCCCATGGCCTTTTTGGGTCGGATCGTCTGGCCGAGCGCTGCAGCATCGTGTCTCGTGTCTGTTGTGAGTCACAACAGGCACAACTTGTGACGCGTGACGCACGACTGTGTCCCAGGGAAGTCGCTGGACGGACGATGTTTGATGCTCGATCGATCCTTCGCCTGGCTCGGTGATGCAACCTGTCACGTGATTTGAGAGCTGCCCAAACTTTTTGGTTCCGCGCGACGCATTTTGCGTTGCCTTGATGCGATCTTGAATTAGAGGTTCGCAAGCAAGCAACCTGTCCGCCCACGACCGGGATTACTTCTTTCCTACTCCATCACCCACTGCGCACTAGCATTGACGCCATCTAAATTCGACACACATTCAGCCGACGACGTCCCAGAATCTCGATAGCTGCCCATCTACTGCTGTCGCAACTTCGAGACCAGCGAGTGAGTGCGCTTCTTCGTAATGACTAGAGAACAAAGCGGCGAAGATGATCCGCGCACATATGCGCTCCAATTTGGCACCTCTTAAACTAGGACGTTGGTCGCCTCTGTGTCGTTCAGCGAGAGGCTACACACACTGCCTCTTTGCGACGTCCGCTCGGCTTCTGGCCAAGAGGTCCCAATGTCGATGCTTTGCTCTTGACTTTCTGAGCCGTCTTTTGTTTTCCGCTACTTGCTGCTCTGCGTCCATATGATCGCAGACTGACACCTTAGATCGCCTTTGATTCGCCCAGAAAGTTGATTAGCATGGCGTCGCTCTTCAAAGCCGGAGCTGCTGCTGCTGCTGCTAGCGCTGCGGCCAAGAGCAAGGCGAATGGCAAGCGGAAGGCTGTCGAGCCGATGGAGGTGGACGAGGAAGCGCAACAGGTCGCAGCGTCCACTTCCACATCGAGTGCGGCTGTACCCAGGCGGAACAAGCAAAGAGTGCTGTTGCTCCCATCCAGAGGCGTCACCATGAGGATGAGACACTTGGTCAACGATCTCGAAGCTCTGTTACCACACTCAAAAAAGGGTGAGCATGCGCTGCGGCAGGGGGCTGGCTCGCATGAGCGTACTGTGTCGTCTGCCATTCTCTCCCCAAAGCCCAGTAGAGCCATTGCGCTTAGGTGCAGTGCTCACCATGCCTCACTTGTACGCATACAGACTCTAAATTGGATTCCAAGTCCGACTTGCACGTCCTCAACGAGCTTGCCGAGCTGAACAACTGCAATGTGAGTGCCTCGACCTCCGACCATGACGCATGCAGCTTTTCAAGTGTCTGACCGGCCTCGACTCGTTCGGTGCGACAGAATACCCTCTACTTTGAAGCACGGAAACACCAAGATCTGTACTTGTGGACTTCGAAGACGCCCAACGGCCCCAGCGCCAAGCTGCTTATTCAAAATGTGCACACGATGGACGAACTGAAGATGACTGGAAATTGCTTGAAGGGAAGCCGGCACGTTTTGAGTTTTGACAAGACGTTCGATGAGGTTCCACATTGGGGTTTGATGAAGGAGCTTTTGGCCCAGGTGAGCTCCTCAGCTAGGCCTGCTCTACCAAAGAGGTTGCTGCGACCTCGATCTGACGAGGCTCCTTTCTCCTTTCTCTCCCACGCAGGCATTCGCGGTGCCAAAAGGTGCGAGAAGATCAAAACCTTTCATCGACCACGTCATTTCCTTTTCTGTCCTCGATGGGCGGATATGGTTCAGGAACTACCAGATCGTATCAGCAGCTGCCGATCCTGGCGCCTCAGCACTCGTAGCGGCAGAAGCAGCCTCGCAAGGGACGACTGCCAAAGTGCGTCACTCAAAGAAGAGCGATGCGGACGAGAAGCCACCGACGCTGGTAGAGATTGGCCCGCGCTTCGTGATGACGCCCATTCGAATCTTTGAGGGTAGTTTTGGAGGAGCGACGCTGTACGAGAATCCGGAGTACTTGTCCCCGAATACGGTCAGACATGAGGAGAGACGCAAAAAGGGAGAGCACTACAAGGAGAGAACGACGGCGAAGGCTAATGTGCTCGCCAAGAGGCAGAAACTTCGGGATGATAGGAAAGCTGATCCTCTGGCCAGGGGCAAAGTCTTTGGCTAAAGCGTCTCATTTTAAAATTTGTTCTTCTGGCAATTCATTTCGTTCGTCACTCGTCCCGCAATCGGAGAGCTCTCGTGTTAATGGGAGTCGCCACGCAAGTGTGTCAAGGCAGGCTTTGTTCGAGACCCGCGCGCGATCATCTCCCGCAATATCTCTGCAGTCGCACATCATTTGTCCTGTTGACGTGCTGCGATCGCTGTGCTGGATGACTCGTATGCGCGACGAGGCGATGATGTCGTGCTGCAATTTCACAGATCGTGGGCTTAGCAGACTGTCATCGCAATCGTGAATGGCTGCGAATCGTGAATCCGAATGGGGAGTGGGAGCCAGATGAGTGCAGGCTGGGAGTTGGCGTGGGGTGGACGTGGCGCTGTGCAAGCTTGCCATCAAGCCACGTGCAGGCAAGCGCGCAGAGTCCTACCTGTGTACAGGCTTCTCCTTTTGACCTGCATCTGCTGCATCTGCATGTTGCCTCCAAGGTGCGATCTTCACACCCAACCCGTACCAGTCAGTAGGTGTCACCGCTGAAGCCATCAAAGCGGCAGCTTCCTTTGACACGATTCACAATCCCAATCCTGTCTGCTTGCCTGCATGCCTTGCTAACTGGCTTGAGCTGCACTAAAAAAAAGCACACGCCACATCCTCATCCTTCCGCCAAAGTTCCCCTTTTCCTCTCAAACGCCTCGGCAATCAAGATGAAGGGTCTCGCTTTCCGCAAGCTCAGTCGGACCTGTGAGTCGAATAAGAAGATGCGATTCTTCCTTTGAGGGCCCAACTTCAGCTTTCAATTTGCGTTGCCTGTCCTTGCTTCTCGAGCACACTTTGAGCCTGATGCGATGCCCCCAAACCTGTTAACCTCGCAGCTTCGCACAGACAATCCCTCTTGCGCAATCTGGTCACCTCGCTAGTGGCTCACGAGAGGATTCAGACTACAGTGGCCAAGGCCAAAGAAGCGCAAAGAGAAGCCGAAAAGCTCATCACCAAGGCAAAAAAGGCGAACCTTGGTCATTCATCCCAAGGTATCAGAGCTAGAGCTTACTTGTATGTGAGTTCCTTCTGGCAAGGGTGCTTAGGTGTGTTGTGCGAGTAGAGGGATCAATACGAAACCTTTTGAGGGGGAAAAGCGAAGATGAAAATCATTTCACAGACCTGAACCGATGCTCCTTTCGAGTGAGCACTGGAGGACAAAGCCCAAATTGCCAAATTTACATTGCTGAGCTATCGCGCGCAAGATGTGGGAAACGTGGAAGCCTAGAAGCAGGAGGGCAGGCAGGGGGAGCCGGAGTCAGGGCTGAGGAAGGACCGTAGCGAAGGCAGATAGATGGATTCTTTTGAAAGCTGGCGTTTGCGCTTTCGATCCGCGCTGACACACCTCACCTGCATCTCCACGCTGCCTCGATGTAGCCCAATCCTTTGCAACCTTCGTGGCCTAAGTTGCAGTCCTTGGCCGAGAGGTTTAGGGACAGACCAGGCGGATATACGAGACTACATCTCAATGGCAATCGCTTTGGCGACAATGCCCCGACAGCTCTTCTGGAATTTGTGGATGGCGCATCAGA